TGAAGTAAGCATTTGTTATGCTATCTTGTGTTATTGAAATACATTTATTCTCAAGGAGAAAAATCAAAATTTTTTGGCATTACTCGAAAAGGTTCATCAGCAGGAGCGTCAACGTCGATATTTATAGGCCCAGGTACAAGGCGTTCACTTAAGTATACACAACTAATCAACACATTTGTCGCACTAACTGTACACGTTTGAACTTGGGTCCCTGGTTTTAACCAATACCTTAAAAAGTTCAAAATAAAAAATAATGATATAATTAAAATTATATCAACATAGTGTGCATAGCAATAAATATGTACAATTATAAAAATGAGTTTTTACAAAATTACAACATTTAATAGCATTTTTTGATACATTTTCGAAAATTAAATAATTCATTTTTTGATGAGAGGAATAAAACTTATAAGATTATAACTTCAGTTATAATAACTTTTTATTTTCACCAAAAAATTGTCCCAAAATGATATGCACATTAAGTCATAAATTTTTTATTTAAATTTGTACAAAAACTTGCCTGAATGTAAGGGTAGTAATTGTACTCGTGCATGGGATTAATTCTGATCTTAGCAATGAATATGGTTTATCAATAAGGGGATCAACGTACTGATAGAAAAAAGTTCCAGATGGTTTACTTTCTGTTCCAAATAAATGCATCCATCTTTCACGAATCTGTCCAATTTTCCATTCAGTGGGTGAAGAAATGCTATTAGACCAACGACATTTGGAGTCATAGTCTATACATGATAATTCACTAGCTTTTCGAATAATAGATTTAGCTAAAGGTGGGGGAACAGCTCGAGCTCCAAATAATGTTGAGAATTCTGAAAGTTTTTTTAATATGTCAACAAATTTATTTGGTGATTTTAGTGGAAAGTAACTTATATTGAACAATCACACAAGATATTTAAATTATTAAAAATATTCCGACAACTTTTTTAAGCTACGAAATTTTTTACCCATTTTTTTACTTGATGCAAGCTATCAAATATATTCATATAGTTGTTTAGCAATCACAGCAAAAAGAATATTCAAATTCAGAGTCATAATTTACAAAATAACTGGCAATTGACTGAATTCATACTTTATTTTTAAATATAAAAAAGACATTAATCATCTCACTAGGCTCTAAACATATTTCAGCTTTATACTTAATATCAGTTATCATTCCAAAACTTCCCAACGCTGAATCTTTCAAACCATATGCACGAATACCAATGCGAAAGGGTTCAGCAGTTTCTGGTATTTCAACTCGACAATAATCAAAAAGAGTACGAAGAAAGTGGCATTCAGTAACTGGTCGTAAGATAACCTTAAAATGCAGATTTTTTCAGTAATTCTGTTCGTTACTAAAATATAATTATTAATACACGAAAAATAAATCACTTGAAGATGATTTCTTCGAGAAGTTGGCTTCACAATCAATGTTTCAATTTTTGCGTCATTATACAACCAATACCTAAAATACCGCCAGTGATATTAATTTCAATTATTCTCTAGTGATATTAATTTCAGTATTTGATTAAAAAACTATGCATTTAAAAACTTAGAGGTGTAATATAATGTTATAATATTAATATATTTTATAAGTATACAAAACAAAACTGCGTGGATATAAGTTACGTTTCTACAGTAAAGAAATACTGAAGAACAATAAGCAAGCAATATAATAAATAATACTAGAATATAGTTAAACTTTGTTATAATACCAATCCATTACTTGAATATTAGAAATCCAGAAGTTCGTTGACATGCTATCGGCGCGCTCACAATTACCGCACTTTGTTCTGCTTGGCTTGTATTCCCAGCAAGAACGAATCTTGTACCTGATGGAAAAATTATTCTTGCTAAATTTTTACCGTACGTAACCAATATTTTCAGTAATATCATTATATTTACTTCAATTCATTAAAATCTATAAATGATTTCAAATTATTCACTTTAAAATTATCTACGATTATCACAGTTAGTAAAAGAACTTGAAGAAACCTTTTGAGAAAAACAATTAATTTCTCATTTTTAAAAGCTATTGACTATATATATATATTTTTGTATTTTGAGAATTAGAGAATCTAACAAGTAAATCATGCTTAACAATTCAAAAGAAAACCTATTGGTGGATCAAGGGATCCGGTCTGAATGTTTGCTGGAAATGATTTACCATCTGATTTTGTAAATAAGTAAAAATCTGAAGTATCCAGTAAACCATCATTGGGTACATTCATCCATGCGCATGGCCCATCGAATAGACAAGTTAAATCTGCTGAATTGCTAATGTAACGGTTTAATTGGGTTTCTGAAAATTTATAATTAAAGTTACTATGTCAAAATCATGACCAAAAAAAGTTAGTTAATATTAGATAAAAATAAGTATAACTAATTTTTAAAATATATCTTTCATTCAACCATTAATAATAATTTTTCAATATTGTTTAATTTTTTAACACAATATATTATTTTGCCAAATTTAGTTTTTTTTCTTAAATTCATCCAATTTAATTAAGAAAAGGCTACAAATGAATTGGCAATGTGCCTAAGACTTTTTTTTAAAGCAACATTTTAATATGCAAAGATATTAAATGAATGATCCAAGTAAGAGTAATATAATAAAGATGCATATACCTGCAACAGGTAACTTGCCATCATTTTCAGGTCGAATTCCAAGATAATAATTTAAATATTGTAATTCTTCTTCATACTGCGGTAGGCATCCATGGATGAAATAAGGAAACGATGCAACTACCAACAACAACACAATCCATTCCATGATTTCAGTGCATCATTTAGGACATCACAATCTTTGTTAACCACTTTCACCTCTTTTCATCTTTTCAGGCAAGGATATTCTTCGAATGAAGAAACCGGATCTGGAATATCCATGATCATCACCAATCACTTACCTTTTGCTTCACAGCGTATTTTTTAATTATTATAACTTTCACTCTGATCTTCATATTCATTAATAAAACATTCAACAATTGATATCAAAGCTTAAAAACAAACTTCTTTTTGCAATTTTCATCAGACTTTTTATACTAGTAAAATATAATTGCTTTTGATACTAAATAAGTCATTAAAAATTGTAAAAATGTTATTGCAAATATTTCTGGGCTTTGTTGCATTAAAAATTTGCATATATTATAAAGAATAAAAATAAAATAAGCAAAAGTTAATGATTGAATTTAGTTCAAATACATTAAAAAAATTCATTTGATAGCAAATAGTACAAAAAAACTTTTGATGAGTCTCAATTTTTCTATGATTTTTTCAGATTATAAAAGATGACACAATTATTTAAGAATTCACTTTTAGAAATTAGAATCTCTCATCAATATTTTGATGCGCATACGTGCAACATTCTTCATTTGAACATTATATGATTATTAATGAGTCATTAAGTCGTGACTGAGAATTCATTTTGAAAATATTTTGCTTCCAAATCAAGTAAAGAGCAAAGTAAACAATTTGTGTACTGTAAGCATAAAAAGCAAATTACTTTTGAAGCTACTAAAAAATGTAATGAAAATTTACGTTTTATAAAAATGTTGTCAATTTAGTACTGATTATTTCTGTGAATCTGAGCATTTAAAATATTAATTATCCCATAATGATTTAAGAAAATGTGAAAATTGTTTCTATGAAAATCTAATTTCAAAATTTGAGCTTTCATGAATAGTGTTTTCATTAGTTTCTTATAGTAAAATTAGTGAATTATTTTTGCATGCTACACATTTTACTTAGTAAAGTCACACAAAGTAAGAAAGAATTTTCTAGCAACATAAGCAATAACTTATTATAAAACTTTAGAAGTACTCAGAAGTATTGGTGCTTGAAGTATAAGAGATATAAAATGTTTCTAAAAACTAGTTTTACAAACATTACTTTAACTATGTCTTTTAAATACTCTAATTTTTCAGTTCTAATTTTAAGTCTAGGATTTTCCTAGTATTTAGTCCAGCTTAGTCCTTAGTTCTAATTATTTTTCGTAAATCTAATCATCTAAAGTTTTCTTCTTTTCATATCTATTCAAATGTCTTGATGCCAGATTTGAAAAATTTGTCTATACAAACAAAATATATTATAAATTAAATACCAAAAAAGAGCATTTCAAATATATTAGGCACATGAACTTAATTTCATTTCGTCAATAAGTTATTTATTGTCATATAACTATCTATTTCTAATCTTTTTAATAAAAGTCTTGTTTGTAGACAAAAAATCATTGGCAATTATAACTTTATTTATTTTTTGTTAGCAACTATCATTTTTAATTCTGTCATCATTTAATAAAAAACTCAACAATGATTTCCGAAAATCTGAAGATTTTTATTAGCTTTATTGTTTAAAAGTAAAGCAATGCTCTTATTTTTATCTGTGACTAAAAATATTCCCATCGGGTTATCATTCAAAAAAAAGGTCACAAATTAAGATTTGACATTTGCAATATTTGTCGGGCAAATTATTTATAATTTTTCATCATTTTAAATTTCAATAAACTTTGTAACAATCGCTTATATGCTTATGGTTGTATTAATATTTATGCAATTACGACTATTCAAAATCATTTCTTTTGTTAACTAATTCAGTAATGCATTATTGTATATTTTGCTCATGCAGTGAAAATACAATTAATCTAATCAAAAATTAATTAACATTTTAAGTGAAAAAATTCCGCGACTTATTTGTGATATATATTAACAAAATATTTATTTGTCCTCTGCATAACTTCTGTAAATAGTAATAGAAATTGGTTAATTTCGTAAAACAAATTTTTGATATCGAGAATGACCTCTTAAGTTCAAGAAAGAGAAAATATAAGAAAAAGATAATAAAATAAAAATAACAAGTTGTTAACTACTTAAATTATAAGTTTCATTTTCAAATTTCCACCAAAATGTAATTCAGACAATGCATGCATTTTCAATTTGAAATTCATTTGTTATCTATTACCAGCAGCTAAAAGAATGCAAAAAAATAAAAATAAATAAAATTGCCGAGCATAATTAATTCTTGAGAAATAAATTTCACCAAAATATTTGCGAAATATATCAAATTCTTAAGTATAATATTCAAAAATAACAAATTTAGTCAAAAAAATATTCAAACTTTCATTTGAATTTTCTTGAATATCAGTCGAAGAAGGCTATTACTTAAAAATTAGATTTGTGTTCTGCATATTTAAATCATCTTGTTAAATGTATTTGTAGCTGCATACGAAAGTTTTTGGAGTGCGCTTATATTTGCATAAATTACAGCTTTTGAATTCCATTCCTCTTTTTTTCGCCAATTCTTGCCTAGGTTTGAGTGACATTATCACACCTCTACAATTTCCGCCTTATAAACAAACTTTTTTACTTTTTACAAAAAAAAGAAAAACATACAATGCTTTTTTGTCAGTGGTTTTTATTAGCAATGATTCATTTTCATCAAGTGTCATTCATCCGCTAACTTATCTAACTTTCATTTTACTTGCAAATTCATTTCAATCAAGACTAAGGGTATGATTGATAGTTAGTCATAAGTATTAACTTATTGACTAAAAGTTCATGCTTATCACAATTAATGTAAAAGTCATAAAAAGTAAGTCTAAAAAAGTAACAGTTATTTGAAATATAGACAAATAACTATTTTTTCAAACATATTTCATTGATCAGTAAAAATATTACTAGCATACAAAGTTAAGAATAATTGACCAACAAAAAATAAAATTGCAAAGTTTAGTAAAATGTTTTCAACTTTCAGCAGGTAGACTGAAATTGAAAAGCCTATTTATAAGATAAACTTAAGGAATTTCTTTGTTCAAACTCCTTATAGCAAAAATATGTAGAAAATATTCTTTACTTTTTCGAATAAAAAGCAAACTTTTTTCTAATGCCAAGTTATTGAGAAAAAAGCCAAGTCATTGAAGGAAAAAACACGCTAAGAAAAGTATTAAATTTTATTTTTTGCTTAACGAAGAATAAAGTATTGAAATTATTTAAAAAATTGAGATGATTTTGTTAACCAAAGAAAAATTATCTCATTAAAGCGCGCTTTTTCAAACTGACATCAAAAATGTCAGTTTGAAAAAAAAAGAGTACTTCAACCATTTCATGTAGTAATAAAATTTTCACAATGCTTACTTATTCTTCTTTATGCATATTCAACAAGTCTTGAAAAGTCTCAGTCTTAATTAAAACTTTTACTGTCTGCTTAGCGGAATATATAAAATCATTCTAAATTAAGCTTATGACATAATATAGTACACTTTTTAAGAAACTGAAATGAAAATGTTGCATATTTTTTCGAATTTTCACCATTTTATGAAAATTATTTTTTAAATTATCTAAATAATTGAATGTACAAAATTTATCATTCTTGAATGAAAATATTTTTTGTTAAATATAGATTCATAGTAACTTTTGTGTAAAAATTAATTCTCATAAATTATCAGACTTACTTAAAACATTTTTAGTTTTCATAAATAATATAATAACAAAAATTTAGTTATGCAAAAATTCAATGATGCTGTATTTTGTTTCTTAAAATAGCTCCGTCATTAAAATTTTAATCGTTCAAGTGAACAGAAGTAGTTACATCCTACACAATTCAAATTCCTATAGTAGAAAGTATTGTAGTTGGTACGTTATACATACTAATTATACTCATATTTATTATTTTAATTAAATTGCTTATAAACTATTTATTAAAGTTCTGTTTGTTGAGTACTCTCTTCGCATGAAATTATTTATGAACTTGGTCAAAATAATGCCTGAATTGTGCAAATATGGCATAAAAATTCATCTATACATGCGAATTATTAAATTTTAAATCACAGTAAGGAATCAAAGTTATTTATTATTTCAGCAAATTTTATGCATTACAACAGCTTCCTTTTTTATGTGAGAGATAACCAATATTTTTTCAATAGCTAAAAAAATTCTCGTTTTTTTACAATATTTTATTAACTTTAATAACAAAACTACAATCTTTTTACATTTTAGCTCAAATTTACTGTATGCAATAATTGGCAAAATGCTTATACACTCCACGTATTCATTATTTTTTAATCATAACAAAATAGCATGTCATATTAACACTGAATTGTACAACTTTCTATATTTCTCAAGTTTTATCTAATAATTTTAGCACTAAACAATGACATTGTATACTTGCTTTTATTTATCAATTTTATGATTTTTAAATTTGTTTAGTGCCAGTTTTAATTAAGTTTATGCTTAGAGAAATTTACTGCTAACTTAAATAAATTTGTGTAATAAAATACAGAGAAACTACTAGATAAGTTGGTTTTTTTTTCTTCAGTAACAAAAGGAAAATATTATTTG